CAATTATCCAAATAATGTTTAGTCCTAGAAAGCTATTATTATCAGAACACGCGGGCATAACATAGCGGTTAGCGGATCAATGAATGAGAGGGCAGCCTTTCCAGAGTTGCCCATAAACCACACTATTACAGCACAGTAGGGCTATTGCAGACAGAAACGATACTGTACTACATCCATGTTTCCTGTCGGCTCAATTTTTGTGTGGACTTTGCTGTTCCGATTCGCATGACCGGTATACGAGTGGAGCGACTGAGCGGAGCGCACACACGCATCGAGCGGGATAATATGCAGAGCGTCACACCACGTGAAAGTGAAAACCTGAACGGTTAACTAATTTTCGGCAGCTGAAATTTCGGTGCATCTCTAATTATTGGCTACATCAGAAATGGATATTATATAATAGATGCTTTTTTGAACATTTTAGCCATTTAAAAATATAAAAAAATTATTTTTTTACACGGCACCCCTGCTCTCGACAGACGGCACCCCGGTTGGGAAACACTGCTTTAGATTATTAAAATGTTCTTTACGCTAAGAAAAAAAGTGTTCTTTTAAGAACTGTTCTTTGAAAGGTTCTTTTGAGAACACTAAAGGTTCTTCTATGACATCACTGCAAAAAAAAAACACTCCATTTAAACCTTTATTTTTCTCAGTGCAGTGCACTTGACAAAGTAAACATTTAGCATATATATGCTTCTATTGCATTCCAGTCAAAATCAAACATCTTGTTATCTCCAATTTGCATATACTGCTTAGTTGTGTGGTGCTCAGAAAATGACATATAAACAAAAAGTGGCAACACTAGCATTTTTGTCATCGATTGTGTGCATCTGAGTGCCCACCATGTTCTCATGACATCATCAAGGTCAGGTTCAAAGATTTCCGCCTCAGTTTCCAAGTTGAAAGACCAGTGCCATTTTAATTTTTTTTGCAATGGGTATTTTAGAACTTTCCAAGTTGAATGTAATGTAGCATTTCTATTTACAGACAATATTGATTTTGTTCTCACAGGCATGGATGTTTTTGGCCAATAAAAGTAATACCTAATGCAGCCTGCCTCCAGTAGCAAATCATAATCTGAAATGAAAGATTATTGGCTATTGAATATAAAAAGGCAAACCCTACAACTTCCTGTTTCAGTTGCAAATATGCCAAACACAAAAAAGAAAGCTGCATTCATCAAGCCATTTCATGGGGTCTTAACAGTTTTGGATACACAAGTAATTTCATGACTTAGCCTTTTAAAATGTTCCTCCCCAAAATCCTAAATCACTCCAGGCACTAGTTTGAGCACAGTGTGTAGTGTTTGCACCAGAGTGCATTTCACATTAAAACAACGCAGGTTTAAAACCTGATCAGTGTAATCAATGGTCAGCGGTTGCACACCGTGTGTTCACTGCTTGCTGCATGTCTTTTGGGAACTGATGGGAAGTGTGTGTGAAAACATCACCATCATTTATCCAGCGAGTGAACCAACAGCACCCACATTTTGTTCTTCCAAAACTCTTCCAGCACACTGTCTCTCTCACACACACACACGTGCATGTCACATACACACATCACTCAGTTCTGATTGTGTGTGCAGATGGAAGATGAAGATGTAATGAGGAAAAATAAACAGCCCAATGGAGGAGTGTGCGAGGACAGCACTCCCAAACACAAGAAAGCTGAGAGAACTTTCAGGTCAGTGCTCATATAAACAATTAATGATTGTGTTAGGATAGTCCAGGCTTTCTTTTTCCAAACAATTTAGAGTTCCCAGAATTCCACATTTGGCAGCCTGTGATCTGTGAATCACAGCATGAAAAAGCATTTATTTTTTATTGTATTTTCTTTTATTATTTATTTGACCGTTTATTTTTGTTGTAGCAGATTGAACACGTAAATCATATGAAATTTTCCCCACATTTTCCTCATTTCTCCACTTTTTCTTCACATTAGCATCAGGTCTTTGCAGATAATAGCAAATTCATATTTAAAACATAATACATATTTACATATGTAACATAGTTCTCTGTGTAATATAGAAACTATATTCCATGTTTTGGTTTTTTTCCACCTTTTTTTTTTCTTTAAAGAAATCTACAGCGCTCACAAAAACCCAATATGCATTTAAGCATTTTCCTTGCAACAATAACCAATAATCACATTTATATATATTAGTGCTGTCAAATGATTAATCGCATCCAAAATAAAAGTTTTTGTTTACATAATGTATGTATGTGTGCTGTGTATATTTATTATGAATATATAAATACACACACATGCATGTACAGTATATATTTAAGAAAAACATGTCATGTTTATATATTAAATGTTTATTTATAATATTAATTATATGAATATAAATATAGACATGTAAGTACATGTAAATATTTTCAAAATATATACTGTATGTGTGTGTATTAATATATGCATAATAAATAAACACACACATATATTATGCAAACAACAACTTTTATTTTGGATGCGATTAATCACGATTAATCGTTTGATATATATATATAAATCTTTAGATTAACAGATTTTTTTTTTTTTTTTTCATTAAATAAATCTGTGGTCACATCTAAATATTTATCTAATGTTGTAATCTAATGGCAGGAAGCTGTTAAAAGCACATAAAAACACTGTCGACATTGTGTACAGGACATTAACATGAACATACAGACAAAATAATCCCATTCCACTTGTCTTGTTTGTCTATTTTGACCTTGTTGAGATAAAGTGGGTTATTTATATGCGTTTAGCTCTATTCGCTTTGAATCGAGTCACCTGATCTGCCGTGTCCTGAGGGCTGTTCTCAGCTGTAACTGGAGACTGTGTTACCTTAGTCAGGGCTGTGCTGCTGATTCACCAAGTCTGTGTGTGAATAGGTTGGGTTTTCTTTACACATGAAGAACATGGACACGTAAAGCTGTTGACAGGCCATTTGACCTGTGTAAGTAACCAACGGTGCACTTCTTGTTTGTTTGTGTGACAGCCGAGGCAGCTTGCGCTCTCCTGAGGCGCCAGAGGCAGACGAGGCAGACAGCGAGGATGCTCGCTTGGAGGCCGAGAGAAAGCTGGAGGAACTGAAGAGGAGAAGAGATGAGATGGAGAGCGAGGAGTTTGAGAGGATGAGGCAGAAACAGCAGGAGGCCGAGGTGGAGCTGGAGGAGCTGAAGAGGAAGAGGGAGGAGAGGAGGAAGGTGCTGGAAGAGGAGGAGCGGCCCTTTATTTTTCTCAGTGCAGTGCACTTGACAAAGTAAACATTTAGCATATATATGCATGTAAATGAGTCTTCTATTGCATTCCAGTCAAAATCAAACATCTTGTTATCTCCAATTTGCATATACTGCTTAGTTGTGTGGTGCTCAGAAAATGACATATAAACAAAAAGTGGCAACACTAGCATTTTTGTCATCGATTGTGTGCATCTGAGTGCCCACCATGTTCTCATGACATCATCAAGGTCAGGTTCAAAGATTTCCGCCTCAGTTTCCAAGTTGAAAGACCAGTGCCATTTTAATTTTTTTTGCAATGGGTATTTTAGAACTTTCCAAGTTGAATGTAATGTAGCATTTCTATTTACAGACAATATTGATTTTGTTCTCACAGGCATGGATGTTTTTGGCCAATAAAAGTAATACCTAATGCAGCCTGCCTCCAGTAGCAAATCATAATCTGAAATGAAAGATTATTGGCTATTGAATATAAAAAGGCAAACCCTACAACTTCCTGTTTCAGTTGCAAATATGCCAAACACAAAAAAGAAAGCTGCATTCATCAAGCCATTTCATGGGGTCTTAACAGTTTTGGATACACAAGTAATTTCATGACTTAGCCTTTTAAAATGTTCCTCACCAAAATCCTAAATAACTCCAGGCACTAGTTTGAGCACAGTGTGTAGTGTTTTCACCAGAGTGCATTTCACATTAAAACAACGCAGGTTTAAAACCTGATCAGTGTAATCAATGGTCAGCGGTTGCACACCGTGTGTTCACTGCTTGCTGCATGTCTTTTGGGAACTGATGGGAAGTGTGTGAAAACATCACCATCATTTATCCAGCGAGTGAACCAACAGCACCCACATTTTGTTCTTCCAAAACTCTTCCAGCGCACTGTCTCTCTCACACACACACACATGTGCGTGTCACATACACACATCACTCAGTTCTGATTGTGTGTGCAGATGGAAGATGAAGATGTAATGAGGAAGAATAAACAGCCCAATGGAGGAGTGTGCGAGGACAGCACTCCCAAACACAAGAAAGCTGAGAGAACTTTCAGGTCAGTGCTCATATAAACAATTAATGATTGTGTTAGGATAGTCCAGGCTTTCTTTTTCCAAACAATTTAGAGTTCCCAGAATTCCACATTTGGCAGCCTGTGATCTGTGAATCACAGCATGAAAAAGCATTTATTTTTTATTGTATTTTCTTTTATTATTTATTTGACCGTTTATTTTTGTTGTAGCAGATTGAACACGTAAATCATATGAAATTTTCCCCACATTTTCCTCATTTCTCCACTTTTTCTTCACATTAGCATCAGGTCTTTGCAGATAATAGCAAATTCATATTTAAAACATAATACATATTTACATATGTAACATAGTTCTCTGTGTAATATAGAAACTATATTCCATGTTTTGTTTTTTTTCCACCTTTTTTTTTTCTTTAAAGAAATCTACAGCGCTCACAAAAACCCAATATGCATTTAAGCATTTTCCTTGCAACAATAACCAATAATCACATTTATATATATTAGTGCTGTCAAATGATTAATCGCATCCAAAATAAAAGTTTTTGTTTACATAATGTATGTATGTGTGCTGTGTATATTTATTATGAATATATAAATACACACACATGCATGTACAGTATATATTTAAGAAAAACATGTCATGTTTATATATTAAATGTTTATTTATAATATTAATTATATGAATATAAATATAGACATGTAAGTACATGTAAATATTTTCAAAATATATACTGTATGTGTGTGTATTAATATATGCATAATAAATAAACACACACATATATTATGCAAACAACAACTTTTATTTTGGATGCGATTAATCACGATTAATCGTTTGATATATATATATAAATCTTTAGATTAACAGATTTTTTTTTTTTTTTTTCATTAAATAAATCTGTGGTCACATCTAAATATTTATCTAATGTTGTAATCTAATGGCAGGAAGCTGTTAAAAGCACATAAAAACACTGTCGACATTGTGTACAGGACATTAACATGAACATACAGACAAAATAATCCCATTCCACTTGTCTTGTTTGTCTATTTTGACCTTGTTGAGATAAAGTGGGTTATTTATATGCGTTTAGCTCTATTCGCTTTGAATCGAGTCACCTGATCTGCCGTGTCCTGAGGGCTGTTCTCAGCTGTAACTGGAGACTGTGTTACCTTAGTCAGGGCTGTGCTGCTGATTCACCAAGTCTGTGTGTGAATAGGTTGGGTTTTCTTTACACATGAAGAACATGGACACGTAAAGCTGTTGACAGGCCATTTGACCTGTGTAAGTAACCAACGGTGCACTTCTTGTTTGTTTGTGTGACAGCCGAGGCAGCTTGCGCTCTCCTGAGGCGCCAGAGGCAGACGAGGCAGACAGCGAGGATGCTCGCTTGGAGGCCGAGAGAAAGCTGGAGGAACTGAAGAGGAGAAGAGATGAGATGGAGAGCGAGGAGTTTGAGAGGATGAGGCAGAAACAGCAGGAGGCCGAGGTGGAGCTGGAGGAGCTGAAGAGGAAGAGGGAGGAGAGGAGGAAGGTGCTGGAAGAGGAGGAGCGGCTTAAAACCTGATCAGTGTAATCAATGGTCAGCGGTTGCACACCGTGTGTTCACTGCTTGCTGCATGTCTTTTGGGAACTGATGGGAAGTGTGTGTGAAAACATCACCATCATTTATCCAGCGAGTGAACCAACAGCACCCACATTTTGTTCTTCCAAAACTCTTCCAGCGCACTGTCTCTCTCACACACACACACATGTGCGTGTCACATACACACATCACTCAGTTCTGATTGTGTGTGCAGATGGAAGATGAAGATGTAATGAGGAAGAATAAACAGCCCAATGGAGGAGTGTGCGAGGACAGCACTCCCAAACACAAGAAAGCTGAGAGAACTTTCAGGTCAGTGCTCATATAAACAATTAATGATTGTGTTAGGATAGTCCAGGCTTTCTTTTTCCAAACAATTTAGAGTTCCCAGAATTCCACATTTGGCAGCCTGTGATCTGTGAATCACAGCATGAAAAAGCATTTATTTTTTATTGTATTTTCTTTTATTATTTATTTGACCGTTTATTTTTGTTGTAGCAGATTGAACACGTAAATCATATGAAATTTTCCCCACATTTTCCTCATTTCTCCACTTTTTCTTCACATTAGCATCAGGTCTTTGCAGATAATAGCAAATTCATATTTAAAACATAATACATATTTACATATGTAACATAGTTCTCTGTGTAATATAGAAACTATATTCCATGTTTTGTTTTTTTTCCACCTTTTTTTTTTCTTTAAAGAAATCTACAGCGCTCACAAAAACCCAATATGCATTTAAGCATTTTCCTTGCAACAATAACCAATAATCACATTTATATATATTAGTGCTGTCAAATGATTAATCGCATCCAAAATAAAAGTTTTTGTTTACATAATGTATGTATGTGTGCTGTGTATATTTATTATGAATATATAAATACACACACATGCATGTACAGTATATATTTAAGAAAAACATGTCATGTTTATATATTAAATGTTTATTTATAATATTAATTATATGAATATAAATATAGACATGTAAGTACATGTAAATATTTTCAAAATATATACTGTATGTGTGTGTATTAATATATGCATAATAAATAAACACACACATATATTATGCAAACAACAACTTTTATTTTGGATGCGATTAATCACGATTAATCGTTTGATATATATATATAAATCTTTAGATTAACAGATTTTTTTTTTTTTTTTTTTATTAAATAAATTAGTTTATATTAAATGTTTATTTATAATATTAATTATATGAATATAAATATAGACATGTAAGTACATGTAAATATTTTCAAAATATATACTGTATGTGTGTGTATTAATATATGCATAATAAATAAACACACACATATATTATGCAAACAACAACTTTTATTTTGGATGCGATTAATCGTTTGATATATATATAAATCTTTAGATTAACAGATTTTTTTTTTTTTTTTCATTAAATAAATCTGTGGTCACATCTAAATATTTATCTAATGTTGTAATCTAATGGCAGGAAGCTGTTAAAAGCACATAAAAACACTGTCGACATTGTGTACAGGACATTAACATGAACATACAGACAAAATAATCCCATTCCACTTGTCTTGTTTGTCTATTTTGACCTTGTTGAGATAAAGTGGGTTATTTATATGCGTTTAGCTCTATTCGCTTTGAATCGAGTCACCTGATCTGCCGTGTCCTGAGGGCTGTTCTCAGCTGTAACTGGAGACTGTGTTACCTTAGTCAGGGCTGTGCTGCTGATTCACCAAGTCTGTGTGTGAATAGGTTGGGTTTTCTTTACACATGAAGAACATGGACACGTAAAGCTGTTGACAGGCCATTTGACCTGTGTAAGTAACCAACGGTGCACTTCTTGTTTGTTTGTGTGACAGCCGAGGCAGCTTGCGCTCTCCTGAGGCGCCAGAGGCAGACGAGGCAGACAGCGAGGATGCTCGCTTGGAGGCCGAGAGAAAGCTGGAGGAACTGAAGAGGAGAAGAGATGAGATGGAGAGCGAGGAGTTTGAGAGGATGAGGCAGAAACAGCAGGAGGCCGAGGTGGAGCTGGAGGAGCTGAAGAGGAAGAGGGAGGAGAGGAGGAAGGTGCTGGAAGAGGAGGAGCGGCGGAGGAAGCAGGAGGAGGCCGAGAGGAAAGCCAGAGACGAGGTGTGTTCGCTTAACGTCAATGATTCATTTCCTGGTCAGGTAGCAGTTTCACAGGCGCGGTGGAATTTGCTTCGATTCGCTTTTCTGTGAGTGAAAATCTTGATGAGGGTGCTGTCGGCAAAATTAGGTCGCTTCTGTAAACACTGCATTTTGAATAGCATGTAACTGTACTTGGATGTTTTATGGATGTCCTTTTGAGAGTTTAAAACTTAAAAACAGTAAATAGAAAAAATATATATATAATAATAGCAAAATTTACCACAGTTATTGTTACTAGTGTAGGTTATTAATTTAATTTTTAAAGCTTTCTTCTCCAAACTGGCGATTATTTCCAATTGTTTGACATTAATATGTTTCTAAACTAACAGCATGCTACTCTAATAAGTATAGAAATATTGGGTAGATTATTCCATATTTTTGTGTAACAAATTTGAAGGCAGCATCCCATGAATCCTTCAGAAAAGGCAATTACATTACAGTGCATTGTGACAAGTTTGGTGACACAAATTCAATTAAGAGAAATATACACCACATTTCAAAAGGGAATGAATGAAATTAATGCTTTTATTCAGTCAGGATGGATTAAATTAATATTTAATCATATTTCATAATATTGCTGTTTTACTGTGTTTTTTTTATTCAAAGACTTGGTGAGCGTAAGATACTTTAAGAAACATTTTAAAAAAATCTTACCAACCCCAAACGTTTGAACGGTAGTTTTTATACTATACATTTCACTCATTACAAAAAAAAATCATCTAAAAACGGTTTAGTCTTATACAAGAAAAATGGCTATTTTACCCAGTATTAGTGAGTACTGCGTGCTTTTATGCTTAGAGTATCATATTGTTATCTTGGCTTTAACAGTAATTTGATATTAGGCGACCTGTGGCTGTGGTGTCAATTATCTATGAAACTCTTGTGCTCACAGTATCAGTATTGAACCCCGTCGTAATTTAAACGAATTCCACATCATTTACATTAACATTAGTGCGATCGCACCAAGTGTGAGTTCCACATGACTGCACATGAGCTTCAGAAACACAGCCGTCCCTCCTCGTGGAGGCCCGCTCCTGGCATTGTCATACAAATATGTTCCTTGTTCCTAATGAACAGAGGCAGTAAATGAAAAAGGACTAATTAGAGATTAGAGGGCCCCGTGCTGATGCTAGTGGGCCGTGCCAAAAACCGTGGTGTAAATAAAAAGGCTTCTTTATGATTTCCCAGCTGCTGTGGAATGCGGGCGGCTGCCAGTTCACGTTACGCTTCCGCAGAGAGACCATCTTGATTCTGTTGTTCATTTGTCTCGTTATCATCCCCGTTTATTGTAAAAAAGGGCATTTTCTGGGATCACAAGTTAGTCTGCTGGTGGTGCTTCTGTGTGCTGTCTCTCTGTTTGAGGTGATGAATGTGCGTTTATTATATTCTTCAGGAGGAAAAGAGGAGGATGAAGGAGGAGATCGAGAAGAGAAGAGCAGATGCGGCCGAGAAGAGGCAGAAAGTGGAGGATTCGGTGGACGGAGAGGCCAGGAAGCCCTTTAAGTGTGTCAGTCCCAGGGGATCCTCCCTGAAGGTCAGCTGCTGCCCTCTCTCTCTCCCTCTCTCTCTCTCTCTCTCTCTCTCCACAGCTTTCAATCAACTGGCAGCACAGCGTCAGCTGATTCATAGGAACACACTGTCCCCATGAAAACGCAATTATCTGCCATATCTTGTAAACATAATGAGGAGGATAGCAACTTGATGATTGTGCGTTAATGCAGCTGGTGTGCACTGAAGCATGTATGTGCTAGTTTAAAGGAAATATAACCCCCTTTCTTATGATTTTCCCCAAAGTAACATAGTTACTAGAGTTATTGTTTGTACATAAAAAAGTTGTATGATGTTAGCCACTTCTGTTATCAGAATATGAAATTAAGCATAAAAAAGCTTCCGAATGAGATCTTGTATGAATTTTATAATTTTTATAATTGTAATGACAAGAATGGATATCAAATATTTTTCAATTCTTGATTAATTTGTATGTATTTTTAAATATACAATTAATATATTATTAGAAATGTATTTTAATATATTATATCATTAATAATTGTGTATTTCAGACATTTTTCTAATTTCCTGAATATGTTTATGTATTTGTAATTATACAATAATTATAATATGTAATAAATATAAATCATATATAGTATAAATTATAGGTTAATTATTATATTATATTATTATGATATAATTATAATAATATATATAGTATAATATGATATAATTCTTGTATGTTTATTTATAAATACATACAAATTATTCAAGAATTAAAATGTTTGATATTATATTATATTATATATACAAGAATAATATAATATAATGAACCTAAAATGTATACTTTCTCTTATAAATGTAAAAATTATGCATGCACTAACTACTAGGCCATGTCACTGACAGATCTCAATCTTATTTATTTATTAATTCATAAATAAATGTAGTAACTATTGTATTTTGGTGGACACTGTGCTTACCATGGTAAAGTTTTTTTTTCTTAAGTTTTATAAATGACATACATTTTTGTGCTATCTATTTTGTAATATCTGTGCTGAAAGAAAACCCTTTCCTCCTATTCATCATGCGCAGATGATACGTTCACAGATCTGCTTTGTCATCATGTACACTGTATGTACTGCATGCTGTGTGATGCATTTGTGTGATTTAAAATCCTATTTTGTGGGTAGACAGATTAGTTTAATATTAAACCGCTGTTATATCAGCCATAATATGGGTTATGGATAATAACAAAATAATAATTTGTATCACATCACTATATTGTAGTCGTGGTGCTTTTTGATGCCGTACATTCCTGGTTCTCGCATGTTTGAATACGGGTTTCCTGCCGTCAGTGGTTTTTCAAAGACAGTTATTTTCTTCTCTTCCCTTTGGAATCCATCTTTTACAAAAACACAAAATGGCGCAGTCATGTTTCTGTGAGATAAAGCCGAGCTGCGTTCTTCAAGACGTGAACTCTGGGGGGACGCAGGAAGACCATTAGACTAATAGGATTACTGTAACCGCATTCTAACGGAGCCGTTTCAAACGCGCCTGAGAATGGGGAATTTCCTGCTGAGGAGTATTTTAGGAACTCCCACATTCGGTTGAGGGGGAGGGGAAGGGGGGGGGGGATTTTTTTCGCGATGCTTTTGGGCTGTGTATGTGTGTTGTCTGTGTGCTTTTTGTTGTTGCTTCACAGGAACACTTTCCCCCTCTTAGCCCTGTTGTCATATATCATAAACACAGGCCACGGTTCCCACAGAGAGAGGGAGGGCTGAAAAGGGCCCTGCTTTTCCTGGCCCCATGACAGTTTCATACTGAAAAGGACAGGCTAGTCTCTTGTCTCTCAGAATAGTCCGACAGACAGTCGCATCTGTGTGTGTGTGTGTGTGTGTGTGTGTGTGTGTGTGTGACCAAATGACAAAAGCAGTGACCTTTCTTAAATCTATCCATTGTTTGACTTCTCTTCCCAGATCGGTGAGAGGGCAGAATTTCTCAACAAATCAGCACAGAAGAGGTGATCACTTCTACTTTAACTCCTCGCAGACCTTTCTTGAAAACATGTTATTCAGTTTCTATACACAAATGTTTCCATAAGGGGCCAAACAATAAGATTAATTACATCAATTAATAATCTGAAGTATTCAGAGTACTTTTGGGTTGGATAAAGAATGTCCTGCTTTCAAAACAAGTTAAGCTCTTTCGACATCACTTGTGGCACGTTGTTGATAACCACAGACAATTATGTTGACTCGTCCCTCAGTTTATAAAAACAAGGATACATTCAATGATGTCAGAAAGCAACTGTTAACATTGTGTAAAATACACAGAAATGTTGTTGTTAGCACATAACCGTTTGCCTTGAACAGCAGTCCTACCTCTGAAAGAACAATGTAGACAGCTTTACAGCCCATATAATTGCTATTATTTAGTAATATTATAGATATTAAGCAAAAATAGGAGGTAATCTGTCCATCCAGCCATCACTATATGCATCTATCTGAAATACTTTCTTATTTAAGAAATATTAATATACTAAAATATTAGTGCAAATTAAAATATCTATCTATCTGTCTGTCTATCTATCT